TGCCCAGGCTGGTCTCAAGCTCCTGGGCTCAAGCAATCTGCCCACTTCGCCCTCCGACAGTCCTGGGATTACAGGTATGAGCCACCGTGCCCGGGCACAACTTGGCCATCTTAACCATTTTGAGTGTACAGTACAGTGGCATTAAGAACATACATAACAATGTGGCCATCATCACCGTCTAGCTCCAGAACTCTTTCCATCTTGCAAAACTAAACTCTGTCCTCATTAATCACTAACTCCCCATCTTTGCCTCCCCTGAGACCCTGGCACCCACCATTCTACTTTTTGTCTCTGAATTTGCCTATTCTTAGTATTAGGTCAGTGCAAAATTAATTGTGGCTTTGTCATTAAAAGTAATAGCAAAGCTGGACACAGTGGCTCATGCCTGTAATCCCAGCACTTTGGGAGGCTGAGGCGGGAGGATCACCTGAGGTCGGGAGTTCAAGACCAGCTTGACCAACATGGTGAAACCGCATCTCTACTAAAAATGCAAAAAATATCTGGGCATGGTGGCTCACGCTTGTAATCCCAGCTACTCAGGAGGCTGAGGCAGGAGAATCACTTGAACCCGGGAGGCAGAGGTTGCAGTGAGCCAAGATCATGCCATCACACTCCAGCCTGGGCAACAGAGCGAGACTCCATCTCAAAAAAAAAAAAGAAGTAATAGCAAAACTGCAATTACTTTTACACCAAAATAACACCTCCTATAAGTGGAATTATATAGTATTTGTTGTTTTGTGACTGGCTTATTTCATTTAGCCTAATGTCTTCAGGGTTCATCTATGTTGTAGCATGTGTCAAAATCTCCTTCTCTTAAGGCTGAAAAATATTCCATTCCCTGGATAGACCACAGTTTGTTTGCCCAGTAATCCACTGATGGGCGCTTGGGATGGACACAAGAATAATGCTGCTATGAACGTGGGTATGCAAATGTTTTTTCAAGACCCTGCTTTTGCTGGGTATGCTGGCTCATGCCTGTAATCTCAACACTCTGGAAGGCCAAGGCAGGAGGATCACTTGGCCCAGGAGTTCAAGCCCAGCCTGGGCAACACAGCAAGACCCCCATCTCTAAAATTAAAAAGTTAGGTGTGCTGGTGTGTACCTGTGGTTCCAGCTACTTGGAAGGCTGAAGTGAGAGGATCGCTTGAACCGGGGGGTCAAGGCTGCAGTAAGCCTGAATGGTGTCACCGCTGCACTCCAGGCTGGGCAACAGGGCAAGACCCTGTCTTTAAAGGAAAAAACAAAAACAAAAAACAGCCGATCAAGGTGGCTCATGCCTGTAATTCCAGCATTTTGGGAGGCCAAGGCAGGTGGATCACCTGAGGTCAAGAGTTTGAGACCTGCCTGGCCAACAAACCCCATCTCTATTAAAAATACAAAAAATTAGCTGGGTGTGGTGGCACATGTCTGTAATCCCAGCTACTCTGGAGGCTGAAACAGGAGAATTGCTTGAATCCGGCAGGTAGGTTCAGTGAGCCAAGATCATGCCACTGCACTCCAGCCCAGGTGACAGAGCAAGACTCCATCTCTAAAAACAAACAAACAAAAAAACTGACAAAAAAACTCCGCTTTCAGTTCTTTTGGATATATACAAGCAGTGAATTGCTGCATCATATGGTAATTCTATTTTTAACTATTTGAGGAACTACCACACTTTTCCACAGAGGCTATATCATTTTTTTTCTCTTTTAGCCACCACCTTGCCTGGCTAATTTTTGTATTTTTAGTAGAGACAGCGTTTCACCATCTTGGCCAGGCTGGTCTTGAACTCCTGACCTCTTGATCTACCCACCTCAGCCTCCCAAAGTCCTGGGATTATAGGCATGAGCCACCATGCCTGGCCCTTTTTTTTTTTTTTTTTTTTTTTGAGATGGAGTTTCACTCTTGTTACCCAGGCTGGAGGGCAATAGCACGATCTCAGCTCACTCCAACCTCCACCTCTCAGGTTCAAGCAATTCTTCTGCCTCTGCCTCCCTAGTAGCTGGGATTACAGGCGCCCACCACCACACCCAGCTAATTTTTTGTATTTTTAGTAGAGATGGGGTTTCATTATGTTGGCCAGGCTGGTCTCGAACTCTTGATCTCAGGCAATCCACCCGCCTCAGCCTCCCAAAGTGCTGGGATCACAGCCATGAGCTACCATGCCGGCTGAGGCTGCATCATTTTACATTCCCATCAACAGTGCACAAGGATTCCAATATCTACACATCCTGGCCAACACTTGGTATTTTTGTGTTGACTGTAGCCATCCTAATTTGACTTGTATTTTGCTACTGATTACTGATGGTGAGCATCTTTTCATGTACTTATTGCTTATTGGCCATTTATATATATCTTCTTTGGAGAAATGTCTACTCAAGTCTTTTGCCCCCCTCCTTTTGTTTTTTTGAGACTGAGTCTCGCTCTACCCCCACCCCCAGGCTGGAGTGCAGTGGCACAATCTCAGCTCACTGCAATGTCCGCCTCCTGGGTTCAAGCAATTCTCTTGCCTCAGCCTCCTGAGTAGCTGGGATTACAGGCACGTGCCACCATGCCCTGCTAATTTTGTATTTTTAGTAGAGATAGGGTTTCACTATGTTGGCCAGGCTGGTCTCCAACTCCTGACCTCAAGTGATCTGCCTGCCTCGGCCTCCTAAAGTGCTGGGATTACAAGCATTAGCCACCACTCCCGGACTTTTTTTTGCGGGTGCAGGGGGATGAAGTCAGTGCTGTGGTGCCATCTTGGCTCACTGCAACCTCCACTTCTGGCATTCCAGGGATTCTCCTGCCTCAGCCTCCCACATAGCTGGGACTCCAGGCACCTGCCACTACGCCTGGCTAATTTTTGTATTTTTAGTGCAGTCAGGATTTCACCATGTTGGCCTGGCTGGTCTTGAACTCCTGGCCTCAGGTGAACTGCCCACCTTGGCCTCCCAAAGTGCTGGGATTACAGGCATGGACCACCCGGCCTTTTGCTGAACTTTAAATCACGTTGTTTTTTGTTGTTGTAAGTTTTAGAAGTTCTCTCTATATTCTGCATATCAGATTGCAAATGACATGCAAATATTTTGCCCACCTTAAAAGTCTTCATCAGAAAAATACAAAACCTACACCTAGGCTTAGACAACTTATTATTTTACCATCTTGGAAGAGTTTCATGTTGTATGCTGAAATTTTAGAAGCTGGAACAAGTAGGAGGAACTTTTTCATAACAAAGTTTGTGTAAGGTGAGATGAGTTCATCTGGGGAGGGGTTAGGAGGAGTGGATAGTTGGCATCAGATCTAGCCACATAGCACATAATAGGGACAAAGCAGCCCCTTAGGAACATTCAAGATACATGGCCACAGGAGAACATGATCTTCCTTCTATATTTGTTCACTCTTTAGGAAGGGATGAGAAGCAGTGGCCCCTTTACTATTTCAGGGAATCCCATTCTTGCCCCAGCCTGCACCCCACTGAGCCAACAAAAGCCCTGCAATTGGCTATCCAGAACCACCCTCAAGTGTGTGCCAATCTCAGAATGGGGCACGTTCTTCAGAGTGGTCAACTTCTTGATGGCAATATGGCTGCCACAGTGCCGGGCATCGCAGACATTACTCCCCCTTCTCCCTCCCCATAGAGAACAATGAAGAGCTCTTTATTGTGTGTGTGTTTTAGAAGGTAGACCACTCACATCTCATTGGCCAAAATCAGGTCACACAGCCACTCTTTGGCAGCTAAAGTTTAGCCATTCCCAGTCAAGCAGCTTAACTGATTGAATTTGACTACATAAGTATTTAGGGTGGATGGATGTTTGGCAATCAGCCTAACCTCTGGCTGGAATGTCCTGCTTGAGGGCCTCACCCTCTACTCCAAGTGGCTCCTCAGAAGCCTTGTTCCTTTTGACCACATACTGGAGCCCCCTTAGACTTGTGCCCTGAACCCATCCCCTGGGTCCAGAGGAATCACTGACATCAGCAGTAGGATGGCGAGTATTTTGCTGTTGACCCTCCCTCCTGGAGCTGTGTTTTTCTCCCGCTGTTTCCCCCACTCTTTGCCCCATGCTGTGGTCATGAATGCCACAGGCAGCACCCTGACTCAGCTTGTGTGGGAAGCCACTTCCCCAGCCCCCATCTGTCAGCTGTGGTCCCACAAGAGATGGAAAGAATTACTCAGCACACACTGGATGCTCATAAGGGCCGTGATTCCCTAACCTTCATACTTTTCATTTCTTGAACTTGAACATGAGGACTGTAGGTTGCTCGCCCTAAGCCACATGTTCCTAAATGTGCAGGATTTTTCCAGGCTGGCAAGGGACACCTGTGACCCAAGCTGAGTCCACATGAGGAGGATCTAGGGCATAAGTCCATAATGCTAGGCCACCTTGGGCCAGCCCCTTCTGTGAACCCCACATCAACCCAGCAGGCAGACTCATTCAGAGAGCAGATACATAACATGAACACCACTACCAGCCACAGTGCTCACAGCAGACATTATTAATCAATCACAGGCTCTTTCCCGCTGAACTTGCATTGGTGCCAGAATCCTCTTCACTCCAGCCCCCTCCACAGCCTCCATGAACTTATCAGTGAGAACCGCTCAGTTTTGACTCTTCCACCTGCCATCCTGATCAGGATTACAGTTAATGTCGCTCCCAACTCTCAGGTCTTCAGCCCACAGTTAGCTTTCATATCCTTGGCTTTCCCCCACCTTCTCTCCCTTCTGAAAAGGAACTTTGGGTTCCATTTTCTCTTATATTCCTCCTGAAGACTCTGTCCTGTCATGGGATTCCGGAAGTTTACATCCCTGCTCTGACACTCTCCAGCTATGTGGCTTTGGCAAGTTTCATAACCTCCCTGAGCTTCCGCTTCCACATCTGTATAACGGGACCAGCATTTTCCTTGAGAAGTGAGAATGTTCCTGGGAGGACACCAGCCATGGGGACCACACACTAGTCCCTGCCCTTGCACAGCCTGCTCTGGGCTCTGCCAGGAAAATCAATCAAGGATTTAGATGGGGAAAAAATGACACAGATCAGCCATTACTTGACAAAATTTTATTTTAGCCCTTGCATCTCCCTCCCAGGGAGCCAGACAGCTCCCCCAACACCCAATCTGGGAGGCAGCCGGACCCCACCTTGTGCTTTGGTAGGGGACATCCCCTACCCATGTCTCCCAGGAGACCAGGGCCAGCGTACCTTGAGAATCTGTAAACCTATGCCAGGACTGGGGTTAACACCTAACCCCACCAGCTGAGTCTGCCAGAACACAGGGCTCTGGGCAGCTCCGAACCCCTCCCAAGCCCCAGAGCCTGTGCCACCCACACCCACACCATTCAGGACTCTGGAAGGAGGTGAGCAGGGACCGTACCAAGAGCCCCCAGAGGTACCTGCCGAGGAAAGCAGGGCTTGCTGGGGGAAAGACAATGAAGCAGCCAAGGATCCCTCTCGAGGGGCTCTCGTCTCTGGCTGTGCTTCTCCAACCCAAGCTGTCCCTTTCCACAGGGGCAGTGACAACTGTACCCCCCAGGCCAAGCCCGGAGTCACAGATCCTATCCCCTCCCACCAGCAAACAGGAAACTAAAGCAGTGAAAACATAAAGCTTTGTTGCCAGAGAAAAAAAAATGTACCGTTAAGTATTTAAAAGTAAAATTCAAACTAAGGTCCCAGCCCACCGGGCCAGCCATGAGCTGGAGGCCTTGATTGCAGACACACCCACTTCCATATTTCCCCAAGCCCCAGGGTCTCCAAAGACAGAAGAGGCTGCAGGCTGAGTCTGTCACTAAGAGGCAGCATTTGGGGAAATCAAGGTCAGGGTGGAGGTATCCTCAGGGGGTCCCCAGGGTGGGGCACTGAGGACTGTAAACATGACCCAGGGTGAGGGCCAGGGGGTGTCCCAGCCCCAGGGTTCTCCTTGCATGAAGAATGGGCACTGTGGTGAGAAGAAGGTACCAGCGGTCAGCCCCAAAGCCAGGCAAGACCCGGTCCCCACTGGGGGTATGAGGGTGGGGGTTGAGCTCAAGAGGGGCATGGTAGAGGGGACTGCCTGGAGCTGAAGAGGGGCTCTGGAAGCCACGCTTAGTGTGTGGTGGTTTTTTCTCTGCCACTAGGTCAGTACCTGGGCCTTCCTGGATGGTGAGTCAGCTGGCAGCCTCCCCTCACTGGGGGATCCTGCTAGACGGTCAGCTTGGGCCATGGCTGCCCAGCCCAGGAAGGGAGGTCAGGCGAACTCCCAAGGGGCCCCAGGCTCGGGGGCTAAGACTGAAGGATGCAGTCAAGGAGTGTCCAGAGAGCACTGTGAGGGCCACCCCAGGGACACAGACCGGGCCTGCGGCCAGAGAGCTGCTGCCGCCAGGAGCACCACCACAAGGCCTGGCAGGGGACCCAGCAGAGTCCCGCCTCAGCCAGCCCAGGCCAGGAGCCCTGGGGACCAGGCCACCTCATCCTACAGGTCCTGCGCTAACACCTGAGCCTGTGTCCCCAGTCACCACCCTCGGAGCCACTGCCCTATCCCTGGAGACGGCAGGCACAGAGCCAGGCTAGCTCCCATAGCAGGCCCTGGAGCAAGGCCAGACCCAGGTGTGGCTGCCACAACTGAGCCTCTCTCTGTCCACCACAAGGCCCTGGTCAGGGTCCCAGTGACCCTCTGAGCTGTAGGCCCAGCAAGACCTGTTGCCAGCAAAGGCCTCTGCCAGGCAGCTCAGGCTGGCCGGGGGCCAGAGTTCTCAGGAAAACTCCCTCTCAGGCCCTGGATTCTCCTTAGCATCGGGCCTGACATCCCCTCAAGGCTAGGTGTCTAAGTCACATGGTCCTAAAGGCCGATTCAGAATCCAGCATCTTCTCGGAGCCTGCATCCCCCAAACCAGGCCACTCAGGGCCTGGGGGCCAGCCTTGCCCACAGTTTCCCTGAGGACCACGCTCCCCAGTCTCTCCAGGACCCGGCCTGTCCCAGAGGGCGTGGGGCTTGCATCCCCCTAAAACAGGCGTCCTGGTGGCCTCAGGGCTGGACCCGGCTGCTGAGCCACTGGCCACGCAGCACCCGGATCTCCTGGCCATAGCACTCGTGCAGCCGGGCGAAAGGGGCCAAGTCCAGGGGCCCATGGGGTGCCGAGGCCCTGCGGCGAGGCGGCGGTGGAGGGGGCTCGGAGCCAGGCCTTAAGGTGGCCTCGGTGCTCCAGACAGCGCAGCCATTTTCCTTGGGCGGGAGGGCACTGGGCCAGTGGGGCAGGGGCGGGGCCAGGGCCGGGGTTGGGGACAGGGGCTGGGACTGGGGCAGGGCCTGGGGCTGGGGCAGGGGCAGGGGCAGGGCCGGACCACCCGCGCCGCGCACAGCCGCCAGCTGCTGCTCCAGCTCGCGCACCACCAGCCGCAGGTAGTCGAAGCTGGCACGCGACAGGGCCTTGACCCAGCCCTCCATGGCGGCCTGGCTCTCAGCCGCCAGCACGTAGGTGCGTGCCCGGGTCCCCACAAAGCGAACGGCAAAGGCGAACTCCTCGGCGGCCTCCACCAGCTCCACGGTACAGCCCTCCAGGATGATGACGCCCACGGGCTCGCGGCTGGCCGCGTCCTCGAAGTAGAAGAGCATGTTCCCGCGTAGCACGAACCAGCGCCGGTGGTAGGCGGCGTGCCGCCCGCCCTTCTTGTACAGGAAGCCCGCGTTGTCCACGGGGGCGTCGCAGGTGGCGTAGAAAGCCAGGCTGCGCTCGTTCAGCTTCATGGCAGCAATCGCGAGGCCTGGAGGGGAGCCCGGGGCCTGCCCCCCACGGAACGGCTGTTATGCACAAGGCTTGGTCACCCAGCGCCCCTAGGGGACCTTGCAGCCACTCTACATCCTCGTTTAACAGATGAGGAAACCGAGCTCACAGGATGGAAGTGGCCAGCCCATTGGCTCACAACTCCAAGGAGCAGAGACAGGACTCGAACTTGGGTTTCACCGGCCTCCCAGACAACCTCATAACCTCCTGCACTCCTGCACCCCTGAAATAATGATGTGAGTTCCTGCTGCATGCCAGACATTTCAGAGGGATGTACTCACTTGATCTCACAACAGACCTTAGGTCACAGGGACTGGCCTGGCTCTAGTTCAACAGATGAGGAAACAGAGGCACAGAGAGGTTAACTGCTTCCCCACAAAGCAGGTTGGGCAGGGCTGAAATCCAAACCCAGGCCTCCAAACTGCAGGCGCTGCTATTTCCATCATCCCAAGAACAAGACCAGCTGGCCTTCCACAGTCCCTGCCAGGTCCCAGCCCCAACTTTGTGGTTCAACCTTGTTTTGTCCATCTGTGAAATAGGGATATGAGCAGAACCAACTTCGAGTTGTAGGGATTGACTTCATTCATGAAAAAAATTATTTTTTCTGAGGGAGCGCCTGGATATGAACCGGGGACCTCTTGATGAAATATTTATTAAGCAACTATTGTGTGCCAGGCACTGTTCCAGGCCTAGGGATTCAGCAATAACAAGATGGACAGGGTCCCTGCCCTTGTGGTGTTGAAATGCCGGCGGCAGGTGAAGGGGAGCAGACAAGTAACAGATAAGATGTCTGCCAGGTAGTCTCATGTTCTATGGAAAATAATAAGACAGGCTGGGCGCAGTGGCTCATGCCTGGAATCCCAGCACTTTGGGAGGCCCAGGCCGATCCTCCTCACTTGGGGTCAGGAGTTCGAGACCAGCCTGGCCAACATGGCAAAACCCCGTCTCTACTAAAAATAAAAAAAGTAGCCAAGAGTGATGGTGCACGCCCGTAATCCCAGCTATCTGGGAGACTGAGGCAGGAGAATCACTTGAAACTGAGAGCCAAGATCACACCGCTGCACTCCAGCCTGGGAGACAGAACAAGACTCATCTCAAAAAAGCTGGGCATGTGGAGAGCACCTGTAATCCCAGCTACTTGGGAGGAAGAGGCAGGAGAACGGCTTGAAACCAGGAGACAGAAATTTCAGTGAGCCAAGATCATGCTACAGCACTCCAACCTGGGGACAGCCAGACTCCATCTCAAAAAAAAAAAAAAGAAAGAATCTAGGGAAAGATGCAGGGCCAGGGTGAGGCTGACTTACAGGAAGGAGGGGCAGGGGCATCCCACGCCCATTCAGCACAGAGGACTCTAACTCTGTGCGGTCGGCCACAGTGACTCCATCCACCGTCCCCTAAGGAGTATATGATGGGGCAGCTCTGTCCAGGGAGGACTTAACAGGAGGTGGCACCTGCCTGGCCTGGCCACCTTCCCCTGGGGTTTTCCATGGCCACTTTGAGAGCCCACCTTATCTCCCATTTCACAGCCTCACCCTGCATAGGATGGTAGCTACATTCTTCAAGAGGCAAAGCATGGAGAGTCCCTGGCATGCAGCAGGGACTCAGTGTTCATTCCCCTGCCTGGGTGGTGTCTTTCTCAGAGTCTGGTGGAATGAGGTCAGGGCAGTGGCTCTCCTGGGAGCAGCTGACCAGAGTGAAGCCCTGTCAGGCTACTTGACCTATGGTGGAGGGGGTGTCCTCGCCACCTCCTGCCACCCACCTAGGCAGTCAAGGAAGGCTTCCTAGAAGAGGGAACATGAGTTGTGACTTAGAAACTGAGATCAACTAACCCAAATGCCCATCAGTGATAGACTGAATAAAGAAAATGTGGTTCAGGTACACCATGGAATACTATGCAGCCATAAAAAGGAATGAGATTCATGTCCTTTGCAGGGACATGGATGAAGCTGGAAGAGCCATCATCCTAAGCAAAATAACACAGAACAGAAAACCAAACACTGCATGTTCTTTTGTTTTGTTTTGGTTTTGTTTTTTTTTAGAGATGGGGGTCTGCTATGTTGCCCAGGCTGGAGTGCAGTGGCTATTCACAGGCACAATCCTACTACTGATCAGCACGGGAGTTTTGACCTGCTCCGTTTCTGACCTGGGCCGGTTCACCCCTCCGTAGGCAACCTGGTGGTCCCCCGCTCCTGGGAGGTCACCATATTGATGCCAAACTTAGTGCAGACACTCGATCAGCATAGCGCACTACAGCCCAGAACTCCTGGGCTCGGCAATCCTCCCATCTCAGCCTCCCGAGTAGCTGTGACTACAGGCACACGCCACCGCACCCAGCCGCATGTTCTTACTCATAATGGGAGTTGAATAAGGAGAACACATACAAGAGCCTGTGGGGAATGTGGGGGCGAGGGAGGGCAATTAGAGTACGGGTCAATAGGTGCAACAAACCACCATGGCACATGTATACCTATGTAACAAATCTGCAAGTTCTGCACATGTATCACGGAACTTAAAAGAAGAAACTCAGATCAGCTTGTCCTGACCTAGCGGGGGCCAAGGCCAGGGCCCCCAAAGGCTCCAGGTGTTGAATCCCCACCCTGCCTCTCAGATACAGCTGTCCCTGTCTGAGCCGCAGGGATTCATGCATTCCCCACAGCACCACCCATCCACTCCCATGTGGATGCAGGCCCCAGTTCTCATAAGACCCTCCCACCCCACTTGCCCACTTCCCCTCCTACCTCTCAGGCCACCACTCACCTCCCTGCCCTCTGCTCAGCTTCAGCCTCAGCTTGCTCTCCTCTAGATGCAAATGTCAGCTCTGCAGCATCCGGGCTGGGGGACACCAGGCAGGCTTTTAACCTCTCTGGGCCTCCATTTCTACATCTGTAAAATGGGATCACAACAGCACCTAAGTCAGCCAGGCACAGTGGCTCACGCCTATAATCCCAGCACTTTGGGAGGCCGAGGCGGGTGGATCACGAGATCAAGAGATCGAGACCATCCTGGTCAACAAGGTGAACCCCGTCTCTACTAAAAATACAAAAATTAGCTGGGCATGGTGATGCATGCCTGTAGTCCCAGCTACTCGGAAGGCTGAGGCAGGAGAATTGCTTGAACCCAGAAGGTGGAGGTTGCGGTGAGCCGAGATCGTGCCATTGCACTCAATGAGACAGTGACTACGTGGACTCTGCGGAGCACAGGGCTAGGCACAAAGTGCCTGCTGAGCACAGTAGCAATTCACATTCTTCTTGGCTTTTCCCCAGACACCCCCATCTAGTGCTTCCAACCTGAGCAAATGGCCCTTGGTTTCCCTCTCACCCCTACATCTGATCACCCATCAAGTCCAGTTGATCCCCCCTCCAGCCTCTTCCAAATCAGTTGCCTAATCTGTCCACCCCACCTCCCCATTCTAAGCCCCATCATCATTCACTGCTGAAGCCTCCTCAGAAGTCTCCTTTCCCCTCCCTGTCCACATTCCTCAAGGTAAGATCCAAGCCTATTTCCCAGGCTCTTCTCCAAGCCACACTGAAATCCACTCCCCACAGAGGGATCCTGTGAAAATTAAGTCCAATCACACTCCTCCTCTGCTCTAAACCCTCCCTGCTTCTCTCAGCATAAAATTCAATCCTTAGGCAGGGCGCGGTGGCTCACACCTGTAATGCTGGCACTTTGGAAGGCTGAAGCCGGAGGATTGCTTGAGTTAGAAACCTGCCTGGACAACACAGCAAGACCCTATCACTATAAAAATAGAAAAAAACAGCTGGGTATGGTGGCACCCACCTCTAGTCCTTGCTATCTGGGAGGCACACACCTCTAGTCCTTGCTATCTGGGAGGCACACACCTCTAGTCCTTGCTATCTGGGAGGCACACACCTCTAGTCCTAGCTATCTGGGAGGCACACACCTCTAGTCCTAGCTATCTGGGAGGCACAAACCTCTAGTCCTAACTATCTGGGAGGCTGACATGGAAGGACCCTTTGAATTTGGGAGTGATCATGCCACTGCATTCCAGCCTGGACAACATAGTGAGACCCTGTCTCAAAAAAAAAAAAGCTTCCCATGGCTTCCAAGTTCCCTTTCCCTACCTCTTTCCCCCTTGCTCATTCAGCTCCAGCCATCCTGGCCTTTCTGTTCCTCAAATACAGCAGACACATCCCTGCCTCTGAGACCTGGCCCTGACTGTCTGCCTACAGTGTCCTCTCCAGGTCTTCACAAGGCCAGCTCCCCATCCTTTGGTCTCAGGATTGGTCCCTGGCCACCCTATGCACAAGAGGCCCCCCCAGTCCCTCTCCTGTGCCTCCTTCTGAAATTATTAGTACTGGGGTCATTTTTGCCTGCTCCAGGAAAGCAGGGGTGTTTGTGATTTGAATTCCAGTGCCTAGCATGCAGTAGGTGCTCACATAGCTGTTTGATTCATTCTACAGGTATCTTCTTAAACCTCTCAACAGGCCCAAGACAAGGGGTCTCACCCCACATTCATAGACATGGAAATGGCCACAGAGAGGTTCAGTAAGTTGGCCAGAGGCATACAACTGTGCCCAGAATCATATACTCCAGGCAAGCCACCCAAAAAAGGAGCTGATCTTGGGGTCTCCCCACCCCAACAAGGCCGAAGGAATAGGAACTTCCCTCCTGCTCAGCAACACTCCCCCCTCCACTGCACAGATGGAGGCCAAACTGGTTCAAGGTCACCAGCAGGCATGACCTGGCTCTGTCCATGACCCCTGCCTCCACCAGAACGGGGAAGGCAGGAAGCCACAGGGGCACAGGCTCCAGCCTTGCCTAGAGGGAAGGCCTGGCCCCTGTCTTATCTTACCATGCTGTTTTCCAAAAAGTTCAGAGTCCACTGTGGGCACTGCTGCTGATTCAACAGCCAGGCAGGAAGCTGGAGGGAGCCTGGCCCCTCTGCTTCCAAGGCCAGGGTTTTGCCTCTGCCGGTACAGGCTAGAGGATCTTGGACAAGTCATTTCACCTTTCCAAGCCTCAGTTTCCTCATCTGTTAAAATGGGCTGTGTGTCGAGGGTTCAGTGAGCTAAAAGAAGGAAAACCCACAGGCAAACTGGGAAAGGGACTGCAAATAGTAGCTGCTCTGAGTTGGGGATTTTCGCAGCCTCATCAGCAAAATGGGGAGTTAACTTCCATCCCTCTAAGGGCTGAGTGAATTTATTCCTGAAGAGTCATTTTGCAAAATACTTGGTTGGTGGTGAGTTGAACGCTCAGGGAAAGAGCCGCCAAAAGGCAAATAATTCATCTAAGATCTCCAGGGGCACAGCTGGCCCTGGAACCCAGGTCTCTGGGGAGACTGAGGCATGGCATTTTGGCACTCACTTCAATGAAAGAAGCCAGAACCGCAGGTCTTGGGGTTGAATCCAGCTGCCCTCAGTGTCCCCCAGCAGCGGGCATGGGGAAGAGGGTGTGGCAGGCACAGGCTGAAAAACATGTGTGCCAAGAACACTGAAGAGCAGCCAGTCTATCACGGCCCCAGCAGGGACCCCAGGGACGCCAGCACCACCGTCCGCGCACAGACAGCCCCCTTGCCTGCTTCTCCAGCTCTGGCCCTGCTCCCAGCTGTCCTCTGTCTCTTTGTGTATTGAGCGTGGGAGCTCTCTTAAGTTCGGTAAAGGACAGCCCGAGCCCCGGATGGGTGGTCAGCGGCAGAATGGGGAGCTTAGCCGCAGTCCCCCTCAGCGGCAGACGTGCCTATGCTGGGGGCGGGGAGGGTAGTCATCGGCCAAGTCCGCCTAGGCTGCCGGAAAAGTGACCGCTGGTGCGGAGTCCCAGGGGGGAAGATCCTCGCAGCGGGCTCTCCAGGTGGCCGGGGCACCCCGAGGCCCAGGGCGGCCCGACCCAGGTCCCGCATCCCTGTGCAGGTCCCCCGGCCAGGCCCGCCTTACCTCGAAGCGCAGGCCTAGGGCGGCGACGGGACAGGAGGCGCGAGGCCGGGCCATGGTCCGGGACTGGCCCGGTTGCGGCGACGGCGGCAGCAGCGCTTTGTCTCCCGGGTGGCCAGGCCGGCGCAGCCGCGGGAGAGCGCGGATCCGACGGAAGGAGGCGGGAGCGACCGGACAGTCCGCGACCCACTGGCGCGCCCCTTTAACCCTTCCCAACCTACCCGCGCCGCCCGTTCGTCTCGCCTCTCGATTGGCCTGCCCCCACCCGGCACGCCCCTGGATTTGCCACGCCCCCGTGAGCCCGCCCTCGAAATCACTCTTAAAGGGTCCGCGCCTGGCTCGCCATTCCCCAGTGCTGGAGCCCAGAAGCTCTTTGAGATTCCAAAGGTAAGGACCGGCCCAGGCCGTGGATTCGCCTGGAAAGAGCATTCGGGGTTCCTGGGCGGGCCATTTGCTGAAGTCCTAGAGTTCAGTCTGAGCTCCCCCTAGGACGAGGCAGGAGGGTCGCTTGAGCCCAGGAGTTCAAGCAGCCTGGGCAACATAGGGAGGCCCCCATCTCTACAAATTAAAAAAAATGTGCTAAACCTGGGTTGCCAGGTTTAGCAAATTTAACGCCCAGTTATATTAGAAAAATAGCTCTAACTCCTCAAAAATGTGTACTTGGCGGAAAGCAGCTGAATCCAGGACATTTGCATACAACAGTCTTCCATAGGAACAGGGTGCCTCGAACCTCCCCTGGACCCAGGTGAAGAGAGAAAGTTCTGGAATTGGACAGACTTGAGTTCGAGTTGCACTAGCCCACTGAACACTCTGTGACCTTAGAGAAATCATTTCACTTCTTTAGGTCTCCGTTTCCTCATCCGGAAAATAAACACAATAATAATATGTAATGTGCACGGCACAGTAGTAAGCTCCCAAGAAATAGGAATTGTTGTTGATTTTGCCCTGTCCAAAATAACACAGTTTCAGCTCCTTGAACCCTTCCTTGCTTCCTGTTCCTGCTGCCTTTTCTCCACCACCCACCACCTCCTAATCACTGTCCAGTCCTGGCCTGAGGGCAGGAAGAACAGGACAGACCAGGGTCAGCTCTCCATTGTATAGCATCTTACTAAGTGCCTACTGTGTGCCAGGCACTGTTCCTGAACCGGGTAAGTAGGTGCAGCCAGGAATCAAGACAACAGCAAATGAGTTCAGGAAGTGATTCATGCTAGGTCTATACGCCAAGGCAATGGGGCAGAAAGCATGGTAGTGCAGCTTTCTTTTTGCTTTTTTGCTTTTTTTTTTTTTTTTTTGTCACCCAGTTTGGAGTGCACTGGCACAATCACAGCTCATTGTAACCTTGACTTCCTGGGTTCAAGCAATCCTCCGACCTCAGTCTCCCAAGTAGCTGGGACTACAGGTGTGCGCCACCACACTTGACTAATTTTTTTTTTTTTTTTTTTTTTTTGAGACGGAGTTTCGCTCTTGTTGCCCAGGCTGGAGTGCAATGGCGCAATCTCAACTCACCGCAACCTCTGCCTCCTGGGTTCAGGCAATTCTCCTGCCTCAGCCTCCTGAGTAGCTGGGATTACAGGCACGTACCACCATGCCCAGCTAATTTTTTGTATTTTTAGTAGAGACGGGGTTTCACCATGTTGACCAGGATGGTCTTGATCTCTTGACCTAGTGATCCACCCGCCTCAGCCTCCCAAAGTGCTGGGATTACAGGCTTGAGCCACCGCGCCCGGCCCAAACCTAATTTAAAAAATTTTTTTTTTGTAGAGCTGAGGGGTCTTGCTGTGTTGCCCAGGCTGGAAGTGCAGGTTTTAGACAAGGTGCAAAAGACCTGGAGGAATGAGGGAGGGAGCCATGTGGCTACCTGGGGGAAGGATGTCCCAGGCTGAGGGAACAGCAAGTGCAATAGCCCTGAAATGGGCCATCCTGGGCATGTTTGAAAAACAATGAGACCAGCTGAGCCAAGTGAGCAAGGGGAAGAATGGTAGGAAAATAGGTCAGCCAGCCGGGTGCGGCGGCTTGTGCCTGTAATCCCAGCACTTTGGGAGGCCGAGGTGGGTGGATCACTTGAGATCAGGAGTTCAAGACCACCCTGGCCAACATGGTAAAACCTTGTCTCTATTAAAAATAAAAATAAAAAAAATTAGCCAGGCATGGTGGCGCACACCTGTAATCCCAGTTACTTGGGAGGTTGAGACAAGAGAATCGCTTGAACCCAGAAGGCAGAGGTTGCAGCGAGCCAAGATTGCACCACTGCACTTCAGCCTGGGTGACAGAACAAGACTGTATCTAAAATATATATACATATATATATATTACTTGGTATACTCTCAGGAGTTTCTGGTTAAAAAAAAAAATAGTCTGGCGTGATGGCTCATGTCTGTAATCTCAGCATTTTGAGAGGCTGAGGTGGGCAGATCATGAGGTCAGAATTTAAGACCAGCCTGGCCAATATGGTGAAACCTCTTTCTACTAAAAAATACAAAAATTGGCCGGGCACAGTGACTCATGCCTGTAATCCTAGCACTTTGGGAGGCCAGGCGGGGGATTGCCTGAGCTCAGGAGTTCTAGACCAGCCTGGGCAAAGGAGTGAAACCCTATCTCTACTAAAATACAAAAAATTAACAGGGCATGGCAGCATGCACCTGTAATTCCAGCTACTTGGGAGGCTGAGACAGGAGGATCACTTAAACCTGGGAGGTGGGGGTTGCAGTGAACCAAGATCATGCCACTGCATTCCAGCCTGGGCAACAGAGCAAGACTCCATCTCAAAAAATAAAAATAAAAGTACAGCTGGGCACAGTGGTGCCTGTAGTCCCGGCTACTCAGGAGGCTAAGGCTGGAGGATCACTTGAGTCCAGGAGTCCTGGGCTGTAGTGCGCTATGCCGATTGGGTGTCTGCACTAAGTTCGGCATCAATATGGTGACCTCCTGGGAGTAGGGGACCACCAGGTTGCCTAGGGAGGGGTGAACTGGTCTAGGTCAGAAACGAAACAGGTCAAAACTCCTGTGCTGATCAGTAGTGGGATCGTGCCTGTGAATAGCTACTGCACTCCAGCCTGGCAACATAGTGAGGCCCCGTCTCTGAAAAAAAAAAAAAAAAAAAGTACAGGCCCAGCGTGGTGGTTCACACCTATAATCCCAGCACTTTGGGAGGCTGAGGTGGCTGGATCACCTGAGATCGGGAGTTCAAGACCAGCCTGACCAACATGGCAAAACCCTGTCTCTTCTAAAAATACAAAATTAGCCAGGCATGGTGACACGTGCCTGTAATCCCAGCTACTCGGGAGGCTGAGGCAGGAGAATCACTTGAACCCAGGAGGCAGAGGTTGCAGTGAGCTGAGATCTCACCATTGCACTGCAGCCTGGGCAACAAGAGCAAACTCCATCTCAAAAAAAAAAAAAAAAAAAAGTGCAAAAAGTAGCTGGGTGGGGTGGCGCATGACTGTAATCCCAGCTACTCAGGAGGCTGAGGCAGGAGAATCACCTGAACCTGGGAAGCGGAGTTTGCAGTGAGCTGAGATCACACCACTGCACTCCAGCCTGGGCAACAAAGCATGACTCCATCTCAAAAAAAAAAAAAAAAGAAAGAAAAGGTAGAGATTATTGGCAAAGCCAGGCGACCTAGGGGCTTATGGACCATGGCAGAGATTTTGCTTTAACTCTAAGAGAATGGGAGCCATGGGTGGGTTTTGAGCAGAGTAGGGACATGGTCTGTGTTAAATTTAACATGGTCCCTGACTGCTATGGGAGAATGGACTGCAGGGAATGAGAGTAAAAGCCAGGAGACCAGGGAGGACACTACTGCAGTAGTCCAAGCAAGCAATGGTGGTGGCTCAGAGTGGGCCAGTGGGGGTGGAGAGACGAGGTTCACTATAGATATATATTTCATAGATATATGTATTAGTCCGTTTTCACACCGCTGATAAAGACATACCTGAAACTGGGAACAAAAAGAGGTTTAATTGCATTTACACTTCCACATGGCTGGGGAGGCCTCAGAATCGTGGTGGGAGGTGAAAGGCACTTCTTACATGGCAGCGGCAAGAGAAAATTAGGAAGAAATAAAAGTGGAAACCCCTGATAAACCCATCAGATCTCATGAGACTTACTGACTATCACAAGGATAGCATAGGAAATACCAGTCCCCTTGATTCAATGACCTCCCCCTGGGTCCCTCCCACAACACATGGGAATTCTGGGAGATACAATTCAAGTTGAGATTTCAGTGGGGACACAGCCAAATCGTATCATTCTGCACCTGATCCTTCCAAATCTCATGTCCTCACGTTTCAAAACCAATCGTGCCTTCTCAACAGTCCCCCAAAGTCTTAACTCATTTCAGCATTAACCCAAAAGTCCATAGTCCAAAGTCTCATCTCAGACGAGGCAAGTCCATTCCACGTATGAGCCCGTAAAATCAAAATCAAGCTAGTTACTTCCTAGATACAATGGGGATACAAGGTATTGGGTAAATACAGCTGTTCAAATTGGGAGAAACTGGCCAACACAAAAGGGTTACGGGGCCCATGCAAGTCTGAAATCCAGTGGGGAAATCAAATTAAAGCTCCAAAATGATCTCCTTTGACTCTAGGTCTCACATCCAGGTCATACTCCTGCAAGAGATGGGTTCCCATGGAATTGGGCAGCTCCACCCCTGTGGCTTTGCTGGGTACAGCCTCCCTCCTGGCTGCTTTCATGGACTGGCGGTGAGTGTCTGTGGCTTTTCCAGGTGCACGATGCAAGCTGTCAGTGGATCTACTGTTCTGGAGGACAGTGGCCCTCTTCTCACAGTTCCACTAGGCAGTGCCCCAGTAGGGACTCTGTGTGTGGGCTCTGAACCCCACATTTCCCTTCTGTACCACCCTCGCCCAGGTTCTCCATGAGGGCCCTGCCCCTGCAGCAAACTTTTGCCTGGGCGCCTAAGCATTTCCATACAGCTTCTGAAATCTAGGCAGAGGTTCCCAAACCCAAATTCTTGATTTCTGTGCACCTGCAGGCTCAACACCATGTAGAGGCTGCCAAGGCTTGGGGCTTCCACCCTTTGAAGCCACAGTCCGAGCTCTACATTGGCCCCTTTCAGCCATGGCTGGAGCAGCTGGGACACAGGGCACCAAGCCCCTAGGCTGCACACAGCACAGGGACCCTGGGCCCAGCCCGCAAAACCATTTTTCCCTTCTGGGCCTCTGGGCCTGTGATGGAAGGGGCTGCTAGGAAGTTCTCTGATATGGCCTGGAGACATTTTCTCCATGGTCTTGGGGATTAACATTAGGCTCCTTGCTACTTATGAAAATTTCTGCACCTGTCTTGAATTTCTCCCCAGAAAATGAGCTTTTCTTTCTATTGCAAATTACCTCTTAAATGCTTTGCTGCTTAGAAATTTCTTCCACCAGATACCCAGTTTCAAAGTCACCTCCACATTTTCGGGTATCTTTTCAGCAACACCTCACTCCTGGTACCAATTTACTGTATTCATCCATTTTCACACTGCTGATAATGACATATCCAAAACTGGGAACAAAAAGAGGTTGAATTGGACTTAGAGTTCCATGTGGCTGGGGAGGCAGAATCATGGCATGAGGCAAAAGGCAGTTCTTACATGGTGATGGCAGGAGAAAATAAGGAAGAAACCAAAGCAGAAACCCCGATAAACCCATTAGATATCACAAGATGTATTCACTATAATGAGAATGACATGGGAAAGACTGGCCCCCATGATTCAGTGACCTTCCTCTGGGTCCCTCCCACAACGTGGGAATTCTGGGAGATACAATTCAAGTTGAGATTTCAGTGAGGTCACAGCCAAACCATATCAATATGTATTTAAGATATATGTAAGATTTGCTGATATGTTGCATGTGAAGAATGAGAGGGAGAGACAGAGAGAGAGGAAGAAGAAAAGGAGTTAAGAATAAATAACTCCAGGACCAGGTATTCTGGCTCACACCTGTAATCCCAGCACTTTGGGAAGCTGAGGCAGGAAGATTGCTTGAGCCTGGGAGTTCAAGACCAGCTTGGGCAATGTAGAGAGACCCCCATCTCTACAAATAATAAAAATATTACCCAGGGCTGGACACAGTGGCTTACACCAGCAATTTCAGCACTTTGGGAGGCTGAGGTGAGTGACTTGTCTCTACAAAAAATAAAAAATAATATAAAATGATCCTCAACTTTTGGACTTAAGTAATGGAAAAATGGAGATTTGAAGGGGAAAATGCAGATTAGTCTTTTCATCAAATTGTGCTGGAACAACTGGATATTCATATAGAAAAAAATTAGCCTTGATCCTTACCTCATGCCATACATAAAAATTAACTCAAAATAGACTTACACATAAAAGCTAAACTCTAAAATCTCTAGAAGAAAATAGGGGTGGCCAGTTGCAGTGGCTCACGTAATCCCAGCACTTTGGAAGGCCAAGCTAGGCAGATCGCTTGAGGTCAGGAGTTCAAGATCAGCTTGGCCAACCCCAGTAGAGATGGCAAAACTCCATCTCTACTAAAAATACAAAAATTAGCTGGGCGTGGTTGTGTGTGCCTGTAATCCCAGCTACTCAGGAGACTGAGTCAGAGGAATCACTTGAATTCCAGAGGTGGAGGTTCCAGTGAGCTGAGCTCATGCCACTGCACTCCAGCGTGGGCAACAGAGTGAGACTTTGTCTCAAAAAAAAAAATAAAAAATAGGGGCTGTGTGAGGTGGCTCTGCCTGTAATCCTAACACTTTGGAAGGCCAAGGCAGGAGGATTGCCCAAGTTTGTGACCAGCCTAGGCAACATAGTAAGACCCCACCTCTACAAAAAACGTTAATTAGCTGAGTGTGGTGGCACATCCCTGTAGTCCAGCTACTCAGGATGCTGAGGCAGGAGGATCACTTGAGCCCAGGAGGTCAAGGCTGCAATGAACTAGGTTCATGCCACTGCACCACAGCATGGCCAATAGAATGAGAGCTGCCTCTAAAAAATAAGTAAATAGGCTGGGCGCGGTGGCTCACGCCTGTAATCCCAGCACTTTGGGAGGCCAAGGAGGGTGGAGCATGAGGTCAGGAGATACAGACTATTCTGGCTAACACAGTGAAACCCCGTCTCTACTAAAAATACAAAAAATTAGCCAGGTGTGGTGGTGTGCACCTGTAGTCCCACCTACTTGAGAGGCTGAGGCAGGAGAATCACTTGAACCTGGGAGGCAGAGCCTGCAGTGAGCCGAGATTGTGCCTCTGCACTCCAGCCTGGCAACAGAGCAAGACTGTCTCAAAAAAAAGAAGAGTAAATAAAAAATAATAAAATTAAAAATAGGAGAAAATAGGGATTACATGCCTGTAATCCCAGCACTTTGAGACGCCCAGGCAGGTGGATCACAGGGTCAGGAGATCAAGACCATCCTGACTAACACGGTGAAATCCTGTTTCTACTAAGAATACAAAAAAATTAGCCAGACATGGTGGCACCTGCCTGTAGTCCCAGCTACTCAAGGGGTTGAGGCAGGAGAATCGCTTGAACCAGGGAGGCAGAGGTTGCAGTGAGCCGAGATCACACCTCTGCATTCCAGCCTGGGTGACAGAGCCAGACTCCATCTCAAAAAAATAAAAATAAAGGTTGTTGGCCAGGTGCAGTGACTCACACCTGTAGTCCCAGCACTTTGGGAGGCCAAGGCAGGCAGATCACCTGAAGTCAGGAGTTTGAGACCACCCTGGCCAACATTTTGAAACCCTATCTCTACTAAAAATACAAATATTAGCCAGATATGTTGGCTCAAGCCTGTAATCCCAGCTACTCAGAAGGCTGAGGCAGAAGAATCATTTGAACCCGGGAGGCAGAGGTGCAGTGAACCAAGATCGTGGCATTGCCCTCCAGCCTGGGTGACAGAGTGAGACTCCATCTCATAAAAAAAAAAAAAGGTTGTTTTTAAAACCTGTAAAAAAAAAAGAAGAGAGAGAGAAACAAAGAGAGACAGATAGAGAGAGAGAGAGACAGAGAAAGAGGAGAGAAGAGAAATCATTAGAGAAACAAGAAGGTAAGCCAACAACTAAGAAAAAATGTTTTTGCTAATATATATATATACCTGACAGAATCTGAATGCCAGATCTGTATCACGAAGTCTTACAACCCAGTGATAAGATACGCAACACACCCATTCTAAAGACAGGCAAAGGATATTTGTGTGTGTTTTTTTTTGTTTTTGTTTTGTTTTTCTTTTTTGTTTGTTTTTGAGACAGGGTCTCAGTCTGTCACCCAGGCTGGAGTATAGTAGCACAGTCTTGGCTCACTGCAACCTCTGCCTCCTGGGTTGAAGTGATTCTCCTGCCTCAGCCTCCCAAGTAGGTGGGATACAGGGGCCCACTGCCACGCCCAGCCAATTTTTTGTATTTTTAGTGGAAACGGGGTTTTACCATGTTGGCCAGGCTGGTCTTGAACTCCTGACCTCAGGTGATCCACCTGCCTCAGCCTCCCAAAGTGTTGGGATTACAGGTGTGAGCCACCTCACTCAGCAGTTTTTTGTTTGTTTGTTTGTTTGTTTGTTTTTTGAGACAGGGTTTGGTCCTATTGCCCAGGCTAGAGTGCAGTAGCACAATCTTGTCTCACTACAACCTCTGCCTCTCAGGCTCAAACCATCCTCCTATCTCAGCCTCCCAATTAGCTGACACTACAGGTGTTCGCCACCACGCCCGGCTAATTTATTTATTTATTGTATTTTTTGTAAAGATGAAGTTTCACCATGTTGCCCAGGCTGGTCTTCAACTCCTACACTCAAGCAATCCTCCCACCTCAGCCTCCTAAAGTGCTGGGATTACAGGCTTGAGCCACCACACCTGGCACAAGCAAAAGATTTTAGCAGATATTTTATAAAAAGCTACAATACGATATACTGGCTAAGAAGCAATGAAAAGATGCCTAGTGTCATTACACACGAGAGAAATGCAAATTGAAACCAAATGAGCTAATACCATGTTCCAACTAGAAAGACCAAACTTAAAAGGACTGACAGTACCAAGCGCTGGTGAGGATGTGGAATGACTGAAATTCCATACTGCTGATGGGAATGTAGGATCGTATAGCCACTCTGGAAAACAAACTGGCAGTTCTTGTAAAAATGAACAGAAACTCAACCAGGTAAGGTGGCTCACACCTGTAATCCTAGCACTTTGGGAGGCCAAGGTGGATGGATCGTCTGAGGTCAGGAGCTCGAGACCAGCCTGGTTAACGTGGTGAAACCCTGTCTCTACTAAAAATAAAAAAATTAGCCAGGTGTGGTGGCAGGTGCTTGTAGTCTCAGCTACTCAGGAGACTGAGGCAAGAGAATCACTTGAACCTGGGAGGCAGAGGTTGCAGTGAGCTGAGACTGCTCCACTGCACTCCAGCCTTGGTGACAGAGCGACACTCCGTAAAAAAAAAAAAGAACAGTAACTCATCAGGTACAACCCAGTAATCCCACTCCTAAGTATTTACCAAAGAAAAATGGAAACACTCAAAACATGACCACACAAAGACCTGTACGTGACTATTCATAGCACCTTTATTGAGAAACATCAGAGACTAGTAGCAACTCAAATGTCCATCCACAGATACATGGAGAAACAAATTGTGGTACATCCATATAATGGAATAGTGCTTAGCCATGAAAAGAAATGAAGTTTCCATTTACATTAAATAACCAGGAGAGCCAGGCATGGTAACTCACACCTGTAATTCCAGCACTTTGGGAGGCCAAGGTGG